CACACAAATGAATATTTGGGTTGAACTGTTCTGGAACAGTGTTGTAAATACAACTTAACCACTGATTTGTAGTCGTCTCCTCTTTTGGAAGACCAAACAAAGTAGTTTCGCTTTCACAACGAAACACGGCGGCCTAGCGTGAGCGGAAGCCGGGCTAGAGTGAGCGGAGGCGGGCGGCTTGAGAACGGCACGGCCGGCGGATTCGACGAAGGAGCGGCAACCACATGTGACGACCCCGGACTGGACTCCGCTTCATCCATGGTGAAAGCCGATCTGCTGTTTTTCACTTTCAAAAAAATAAATAAAACTTTTCAGGCCCAGCCTTGCCTTTTCAGCCACATGAGGGCAAGTGTTGCTCCTACTTTTGGCCACTCGGATCCATGCATCTCCTTCTCTGCTTCCAAAATGTGCTGCAGGGTTTTAAACCTGGTAGGGTTGCTGTCATACACAGCCTTGATTTTCTGTGAGAAAAAGCAGAGAGGTGGGTGGAGTAATGATTGTAAAAGTTATATTGTTCAATGCTTATCAACCGTGTATATCACGTGGTGAACTTACAGTGATGTTACCCACAATATCAGCTTTGATGGGGGAAAAAACAGCAGAGCCAAGGCAGTCTAAGAGGAGATAAAGAGAACAGATGAGTAATACTTGAGTACATGCAAATATTTTAATAACACTTACGCAATTTGCATGTATTTGAAATGTTGCCTGAAAAGGTTGCCTGGCAACCTACTAAACACATGAAAAGTAGATTGTTATGCACACGTGAGAATGCAACATTCTTTCACAGAGCTGTGAGGTAATCCTCTTTTTACATTCTAGGATATTTACAGGAATGTAGCAGATACACGGAAAAAGTATTGCCACCTCTGATCCCTTAGAACTTTGAGTGAACTCTGACATTACCGCCTTAAAAAAGAGGTCTGAATAATTAACTGTGCTTAGAGAGCATGACAGATTTCTGAAAGCACCCATGCGGTTCATTAAAGTTTCAGCACCACCCATTATCACGCTGAGACCAAATGTATTGCGAGTCTGATAATGAAACAAACACCTGTGGAAATAGAAACACACTGAATCACTTCTGTTTCCATTCCTGCAACCAATAAATACTGTATATGCTTTTTCAATTTTTGTATTAGACTTCTTCATTAAAAAAAGTGGTGTGATTATGATTTACTATGGGTTGTTTGCATGCATGCACTGCCTAGCTCTGTAAAGATACCATGCTGCTTTAAATGAGACCTCTTTGGGTGGGTTACACATACCGACAGAACTGTCATGCCAACTGCGCAAATTCGATTTTGAATGCAACTCCTAAAGACTGTATCTTTAATAATTAGGTTGCAGGTCTAACTGGACTAAAAACCTAATTACTACTTGTTTAAAACTATCAACACATCAATATTACAATTCTGGCCAATATAACCTGATAATTATTTTCATGTTATTATGACCATTAATAAATGGACAATATTAAAGTTCTTTACTATTTTGCCTAAACAAATTAAAATTAAAACACTATCAACAAAAACCGATTGTTTTAAATGCCTGAAGTGAATTAAGACATTTGGATATTCATTTTGAGATTTGCTAAGATTACATTTAACAGTGTTATTACATTATCATTTTTAAAGATTAGCCTTTAGTGAGTGTTAAAATGATGGCAAAGGTAATTTATTTAAATGTAAAAATAGAGGAAATGAACATGCAAAATTAAATATCTAATATCGGTCAATATAAATCAAAATATTGATCAATATTAATAAATTAAGCGTGTGTTTACACTTGTAGTTCGCTTCTCTTGGTTTTATTGGTCCGGATCAAAAGAGTAAATAATACATTTATTTCTGGTTCACTTACTGTTCACACTGTAATTTTTAATATAAAAAAACTTAACAATATAAAACAAAAAAAGATAAAGTCACAACCTGATTGGTCAGCATTTATGATGTATATTTTGCAAACTGTGTGCAGGGTATATATGATGGCATTTTTACCAACTGATAATTCACAAAGAGCTTATAAAATGTGTAAAGGAGTCAAAACAGCAAACAGAGACTGAGGTTCTGACACCTGTACAGACTGTAATCAGGGCCGTCGCTAGTGAGGAGAAAGGTGGTGACAATTATAGGGGCCCCCACTGCCCAAGGGGCCCACTAAATCCAGTAGTTATGCCATATATTCCCCTACTCTTATATGAATCATTTTAGTATATATAGTACAAGGTCAGCTTGTATGCCTGAGAGTTTAATGAAAACCTCAAAAACATTTAGTTTAAAATGCTTTCCAAATATCTCCTATCTCCCCTCCATAAAAAAATGGTTTAGTCTGATGGTTATTAATCATTTCAGCTTAGTCAGCTACAAAAAGGAGATAAAATCCCAATAATATCGCAGGTCCCACCCCAGCTAGTGAAAAAAAAAACAATCAGAGTTGAGACTGCTCCGAGAACAGTTGAAGTTAGAAGTAAAGTTACAGTGGAAATGAAAATGCTGGGGGAAAAAATCTGGGTACCAGTAACGTCATGAAAAGGAGAGGGAGGCCAGGAGAACTGCTTAATCAGTCTATCAAAACGTTCTTTTGCAAGACAGGTTAGTGCACTGTAAGGATGTCATTATGATGGGATGCCACGCACCTGATCATTTCGCTGCCCAATTTACTTTTGTGGGAATAGGACACACCGGCCAAACGATTGCACTCTCAAAGTTCCCCTCTTTCTGTGCTATTATGTAGATTGTTATATTGTATAATCCATAGAGAAATGCGCATCACATGGATTGTTGCTGATGTGATGGTCTATAATTAAGATAACACTGTCAAAAAATAAAAAAGGCGAATACAACTCACTGCACTGATGGATACATTTATTAGTTTATTTAATAAAATATTATGCAGTAGCATATTGCATGTGTGCTATCAGGAAGCCATTATTTGTATGTATGTATTTATTTATTTTCTGTTTTGTTATGTCATTAAAAAAAAATAACCCATATCTTATACTGTATGATTTGAGTAGAAGGCAGTGGGGGCGCACATCAATATTTTTTCAAGGTGCCCAGAATTCCCTAGCTACACCCTGACTGTAATGGGCAATATGACGGGTTCATATTGCTAGTCATAGCTCATGTGACGAGAAGAGAATGCTTTTGGTTCATTTTTCGGTCCGTGCCGTGTTCACATTAGTCGAACCGTACCAGAGTTCATTTGAAAGCCTGAAACGGTGGGTCTCGGTCCACTTGTTTGGTTATTCAGATGAACCATACTAACAGAGCAAGTGCAACAGAGTTCGTTTTAATCAGATCAAACCTGCCAAGAAACGGCACCAAGAAAACCAGGACTGCCACTGGTGCCCCTCACAAAAATAGATGCATGACATCCTTGTATACCAACACTTTATGCAGGCCGAGGATCTAAGCCCCATACAATCAAAATGCCTGAACAAGAAAAGGAAGCCATTATTTGTATGTATGCATTTATTTATTTTCTGTTTTGTTATGTCATTAAAAAAAATAACCCATATCTTATACTGTATGATTTGAGTAGAAGGCAGTGGGGGCCTCAATATTTTTTCAAGGTGCCCAGAATTCCCTAGCTACACCCTGACTGTAATGGGCAATATGACGGGTTCATATTGCTAGTCATAGCTCATGTGACGAGAAGAGAATGCTTTTGGTTCATTTTTCGGTCCGTGCCGTGTTCACATTAGTCGAACCGTACCAGAGTTCATTTGAAAGCCTGAAACGGTGGGTCTCGGTCCACTTGTTTGGTTATTCAGATGAACCATACTAACAGAGCAAGTGCAACAGAGTTCGTTTTAATCAGATCAAACCTGCCAAGAAACGGCACCAAGAAAACCAGGACTGCCACTGGTGCCCCTCACAAAAATAGATGCATGACATCCTTGTATACCAACACTTTATGCAGGCCGAGGATCTAAGCCCCATACAATCAAAATGCCTGAACAAGAAAAGCCTTAGAAAGTGATATACAGTATGTGTTCCTCAAGTGAGAGTAGCACCCGAGTAGAATTTCCCAACATAGAAGTGATATGTTCAACAGTGTAGGGTTCAAACCAGCATAGCGCATAGGAAAGATCTGGGTCATCAGCATTTTGTACTGTTAGCAAAAGGAGCATCTCTGGTTACAGAGGACTCCAAACAAGCTCAAAGTCTGAAAGAATGCCTTACAATTACAGAAGACACACACAAACGCACGCGTGCGCGCGCACTCACATCATGTCTAACAATGCCAGCCCTCCCTCCTGTTCTTTCTGGTGTTGGTACTCCACACAGGGCTTTTTGTGATAAATTGTGAACACTAAACAAGAGTTAATTGGGAAGCTTAATTGTCTTTCTGTGGGATTTAGCGACATCCACAACAACCAGTGTCCCCAATCACCTTATGACATCACATGATCATAAATGCGTCCCAAATCACAGCCTGCCATAAAAAGTTTGTCTATCAAGGTTAAGTTCCAGTATCATTCATATCATTAGATCTTAATCTGTAGACTGTAGGAGTTTCTTGAAGAACAAACAGTAGGGTCCAAAAGTCTGAAATCAACAGTGAAAATGCTTCTTACTAATATATACTGTGTGTGTGTGTGTGTGTGTGTGTGTGTGTATATATATATATATATATATAATATATGACTTTTATTTTTTAACTTTTACTTTTTATTCAAATGATTATTTTTTCTAATGAAAATGTTTATTAAATTATAAAATACTAAGATTTATTAAACACAATTTAATTTCAATAATTTAATGAACATGTTCATTAAAATAATACTATCAGCATAATCATGCGAGTAAAAAAAATTAAATGTAAGAGAGCAAAAAAAATGTTTAAATAATATATCATAATGGACACCACAAGTTTGTGCTAAAATGTCTTTTGCTCAACATGGCCAATTTAATTAGTGACCAAAAATAGAGCAGAAACTAAAATATTTCATATCCATTTTCATATCCACCTTTTTTTTTTAATCCTAGGTTTTTATGTGGTCTCAGATTTGTTGATGACACTGTAGTTCTGAATTGTCACTGTGAGGTTTAGTTTAAACTCTCTCCATCATATCCAGTTCTTTTTACAACTACAGCAAGAAAATGAGCATTTTAGTGACAGCTGAAAAAAATTACAAGAAAAGTATATCAAGAGCTAATGTGAACACCTCAGGCTTGGCATTTTAAGTGGCAAATTCATTTCAAATGCATTTTTACATACTAATACCAAATGAGGCTTTGAGCAAAGATGTTCTGATGTTCCGTTCCACCAATTAATAGAGCAGGGCAACTCAACACCATGCTAATCAATTTTCTCAACTTCCAAAATCGAGGGCAGCAGATTAAATTATGCATGCAATAGGTTTGTGGCCTTCTTTGTGAAAAGAAATTTGAGCCAAAAAAAAAGATTAGTCCTCAACAGCAAACAATGGCTTCTGCTTGACAGCTAGGCTTTGTCAGACAGTAAATTAGCCTACTAACAACTTCTGCAGAACACTGAAGATCTTGATCAGGAGTGGAAAATCTCACCCCTGATCAAGGAGCTGGAATATCTCAGACTACAGGTTTCTGTAACATGTGTATAATTACGTAATTGAATCAGTTTAAAACTCTTATTCTATAAACATGCACGCGTTTCGCTGTTACTTTGTTTCACTTTATTTACGATTCATTTTGAAAATGACAGTTTGAAGTGATCTACGAGGGAGAGAATTCAAACAAACATTGGCTATTTTATAATTTGCATATTGAAATATATAATAAAATAACTGTTTGACGCCTTGAACAAGTTACACTGAACGCTGAAAGCTTTAAAACATCAAACGATTTCCCTACAGTTCATTTGAAAGCCCAGCCTATCCGGCCGTTTCATGACAGCACAGAGTTCATGCTCAAATCTGAGCTCAAACTATGAGAGATGACGGAAGAACCTACGTTTGGTAGGTAGGTGAGGAGGAGCCAATCACATCACAGGGGGCGGGGCCGAAGCTTATAATA